TCCAACATCTGGAGTGAGTATTCACTGGTGGATATCATATGGTTTCACGACTATGATTGGACTGGGGGGGGGGGATCCTTTAGTGTTTTTAAGAATTAAAAATGTTCTTGATTCTTTGTTTGTCTTTTAGCCTTGAGAAAAACCAAATAGGAGACTCTGGAGCTGAGAAGCTAGCTGGCGTTTTACATTTTTTGGAATGTCTGAAATTGCTAAAGTAAGTTTTGAAACATCTATGCCCTTAAATATCACACACGGGTACTTAATAGTCTCTGGAAAACTGTGTTTTCCAAAGTAAATACAACTTGTAAAGGAACAACTTTGACACAACTGAACTGTCCAATGTTCCCACCATACAGTCTGTCTCAAAACCTCATTGGAGATGCAGGAGTGGAGAAACTGGCTAAAGCTTTAGCATCAGTGCCTTCTCTACAGAGCCTCAGGTACAGACACCCTCGGAAATATATTTACCATCACCAAGTAAAATGTGAATTTTGGAAGTGTTTATAAGTCCTCATTGTTTTGTCAAAATTATTCCACATTCCTCACTTCTAGCCTTTATGGAAATGCAATTGCTGACATTGGAGCTGAACATCTGGCCTTGGCTTTACCAGACATGAATTTCCTGCAGGACCTGAAGTAAGTATTTATTCAAATCATGTTAAATCTTCTTAAAAAGATTTAAATAACAAGATTCATTTAGTTTCATTTTAAAAATGAAGTATCTTCGTCATTTTGACATACATTTTCTCTTCTATTCTCTTCTAATGCTTGTTTTTTTTTTAAATACAAGAAATATATTATTATATTATATTATATTATATATCAATGCATTTCTTGTTATTTACTTTCAGTGTTGCGTTCAACAAGTTCACAGACCTCGGAGCTACAAAGCTCGGTGCTGCTCTGAAAAACTGCACAGGAATGAAGTCCCTGGAGTGAGTCTCCTTTTTCTTTTCTTTTTTTTATTTCGCATCTACCATCCTTTTGGACATGTGATGTAGTGGTTTGATATACCACATTAGCTTTTACTTGGATAACTTTTTCTTGTAATTAGGTATCAGATACTAGCATCTCAAGACTGTGTACAACATTTGAGCTAGTTTAAACACAGAAAATAAGAGATCTTGCTACAGTTTGCTAACACAGTCGGGTGGACAGGAAGACGTTTATCTCTACAATCTGACCACAGTCACTAAGAATATGCATTACGTCCATTATTGTTCATGCATTTAGTATCATTACATAACTCGACAATTTTTCCTGATATGCAAGTTTTCTTGTTTTCCTTCTCCCTCATTAGGCTGTGGAATGACTGCATTCCATATGGAGTTTTTGAACACCTCCGTCTTCAAGATCCACGGATAAGATCACTTTGATGCACATTTTAAAATGGCCACATACTGGATACTGTTACAAGTTTTTTTGTTGTTGTTGTTGTTGTTTTTACAAAAGCATAATTCACCATAAAATTCAAAAGTTCATCAACATTTGTCAACAAGGACACTAAACTGCTTTAAAATGTTGTTTCACTTTCTCATTGAAATGACTGTGCATGTGACTGCTATTATGACTGACTCGCACTTTCTAACACTGGATATACTCTTCCTCAGCACTAAAAGTACTTTTTTATACTGTATTTTTTTTAAAATACAAGTTCTGTGAGTCTGCTTTTCTGATTGTTACAGTTACAGATGTCAGATACATCAAATGTTTAGCTGCTTCTATAATTCATTATAATTTGACTTAAACATTTGTTAATATTGCTGCTTTGATTATCTGTTCAGTTGCAGTTTTCAGGGTCTGAAAAAATATGTACAATAAAATGAAATGCATACATACAATGACTTGAATACACCTCTCACCTTTTCTATAACGAGCATGTTTTTAATTTCTTGATTTATATAGTGTAGATCAAAATTAGAGAACAACCTATAATTTCCTAAATTTCAAGGCCACTGCTTCGTCCTATTTGAAGTTAGCCTAACAGGAGTAGAAGGGCAGTTTTTTAAGCATATTTCATAAATTAATTGTAATCTGAAGCACAATATAAAATACTTAAACAAGATATTTGAAAAAGAACTCTGATCAAAATTAGAGAACACTTAGAGATACCTCCAAGTTATTTGTGTTAATCTGGCACCTGGTGCTAATTTCCTTAATTATCTGAAAAACCCTATTTAGCTGGCAGCATTCCTCCAATTTTCACTGGGCTGCTCTAAGGTGACTGAAAAACCCTGTGACAGGAGGCGGCCCAGATGAAGGGCAAAGAGATGACCCTTTCAGCCATTGCAAGAGAAGTTGCAAATAGCTCAGATGTGCAATGCAGCATTAAAAACCTAAACAGTACAAACAGAAAACAATGTAATAAAACGGTAGGGGTGAATTTATTATTCCATGTACATTTGAGGTTAATGTGTGTACTGGGCTACTTTTGTAGTTACAGCAGCTATCACTGTGTTGTTATGTTATGAAGTCAGTTGTGACTTCAATAGGCTATTAGTTTGTAGTGAGTATTTTCAGAACATTTCTTGGTCCTACACCTTCCACAGAATATAAATAAAGATAAATACATTTAGACCACTTAAAGGTGCACTAAGGCCTGGACTTCTCCAGAACGTCCAGATGGCCAGTCCGCCCCTGGTTCCAAGTAGTCTGAATCTTCTGCACAGACTTCAGAATCTTCACCTTCAAGGCTCCTGTGTTTGCGTGTTTCCAGACCAAGGACCTTCACGGTGCTCAGGAGTTCATCGTTCACCAGTGCTTCATGTTCAAGACTGTGAAACAGATCTAACTCCTTTCTTCCCACTGCAATGTGGCCTAGATCAACAAATGGAAGACGTTGCCTAAGACTCCGCACATGACCAGGCAAATGTACAGGTGCATCTCAATAAATTAGAATGTCGTGGAAAAGTTCATTTATTTCAGTAATTCAACTCAAATTGTGAAACTCGTGTATTAAATGGTGTTGGTGTGCTTGACTGGCCAGCAAACTCACCAGACCTGAACCCCATAGAGAATCTATGGGGTATTGTCAAGAGGAAAATGAGAAACAAGAGACCAAAAAATGCAGATGAGCTGAAGGCCACTGTCAAAGAAACCTGGGCTTCCATACCACCTCAGTAGTGCCACAAACTGATCACCTCCATGCTACGCCGAATTGAGGCAGTAATTAAAGCAGAAGGAGACCCTACCAAGTTATTGAGTACATGTACAGTAAATGAGCATACTTTCCAGAAGGCCAACAATTCATTAAAAATGTTTTTTTTTATTGGTCTTATGGAGTATTCTAATTTGTTGAGATAGTGAGTTGGTGGGTTTTTGTTAAATGTGAGCCAAAATCATCACAATTAAAAGAACCAAAGACTTAAACTACTTCAGTCTGTTTGCATTGAATTTATTTAATACACGAGTTTCACAATTTGAGTTGAATTACTGAAATAAATGAACTTTTCCACGACATTCTAATTTATTGAGATGCACCTGTAAATACCACACTTCCCAAACCTCTTTCCAGAGACCTTTGGCTTTTGTGTGTATTGTCAGTTTATGATTATCTAATTTGCATTAGGAAAGGAAAAGGGCGTGGCGTGTGGCCAAGTATGGGGTCCCATACTTGGAATTTGTGCTCTGCATTTAACCCATCCAAGTGCACACACACAGCAGTGAGTAGTGAACACACACCCAGAGCAGTGGGCAGCTAATGCTGCAGCGCCCGGGGAGCAGTTAAGGGTTCGGTGCCTTGCTCAAGGGTCTCACCTCAGTCGTGGTATTGAGGGTGGAGAGAGCACTGGACATTCACTCCCCCCACCGACAATTCCTGCCGGTAACCCTTTGGGTTACAAGTCCGACTCTCTAACCATTAGGCTCTATATAACTGATATTAGTTCATAACAAATAATCTCTTGATTTATTTGTTGAATCTAGAATAAGATTTACCTTCCAGGAAACTTCAGTTTATCTTTCCATAAGATAATGTCCATAGTAACATCCAACTCAGTCACTTGCATTTATCAATCTTTTGCACTTTATCCATTCATTGTATCAATTTAGTAGTTGTTAGTTACATTTCTATCCCTTTGTTAATAAAACCCCTTTTAATACACTTGTGTCTTCCTTGTGTTGATAATACAGTAAGATGGCTCTAAAAGTTAACGATATCTCACAAATCCTTCATATTAGTCAGAGTACAACTTCCTATAATTTATTTTTATTCGTATTTATTCAACAATCTTCCATGATTGTTCTTTACTGTCAAGGTGAAATTCCTGGCTGGTGCCCCGTAAAATAGTATGGCCAAAACTAAACATTTTATTTTGGCCATACTGGTGGTCGTACTGGTAAACACTGATGCTGCTACTTAAATCTAAAATCACTACATTTAGTAGTGCCCCGTGTGAGGCTATCCAACACTGATTTCACTATATGTGCATTACTTTTTACATGACGAATACATGCCACATGATTTACTAAACTGAAACCTTTCTTAAAGGGGTCATATGATGTTGCTAAAAAGAACATTATTTTGTATGCCTTGTTTCTTTGCGTGAACATTTGGGCGGTGTTATGCAAATCTTCCCACATAGTGAGGTAGGTATGTGGGGGCGTGTTAGAACGAGCCGTTTTAGGTAGGCATGGTTGACTCTTAACTTTTATAAAGAATATCTCTTTGGATTTGAGACTTTAGTCTTTGCAACTTTACAGATCTTCTTTATGCACCAAGAGCTTGTAACACTCCAAAGAGAAAGGAACATTTTAAATCGCATCATATGACCCCTTTAAAAATGGGATAAATGTTTTTCAAAACCATATGAAACTAACAATTATAAATAGAACATTTCTAAGAAATCGACACGTGTTTTAAATTAGATCTTGGTCACTGACCTTTATCTTTTTAGCAAACGATTGTGATTTCATAGTCAGTTGTTGTGATAGAAGTCAGATGTTACACACGAAGGCACTGGATATTTGAAAGTCAAAAATGCCACCATGGCAACACAAAGTGAAAGTAATCATTTATTAAATATATACTGAGTGGATAAACAAACCTCAGCCAAATATATCATTCTCAGGCTGTCACAAATATGCTGTTCCTAAGTGAGACTTTTAGAAAAAACCCAGAACACTGATTCAGACACCCTGTTTGTCTCATGACGTATTGCTCATTTAAATAGTATTAAAGGGAACGAAAACATGCTGAGGCTGACCACGTACAGTATAAGGGTTCTGCCTACAGAGTAATAACAAGCCCTTGCAGGGCTGACACAGAATCCTGCATGAGTGCTGAATGCCAAACTAAAAATAAATAGGCTAATGTAATATTTATATCCACAGTAGTGGTTAGTGCCTGAATTTGATCTCTGAAGAACCACTGGCTGGCTGTCCCATGGAAAACCGCATGGTCCGTTTGGCTTATCTGTTCCAGGTAAATATGCCATGTTGTACGATGGCTTGCTTGCAGGTCAGTCTTCTGAGCCTGGACAGCCTGTGGAGGCACGACACTTAATGCACATGTATATTTTTGAGTATGAATCATCATTTAAAAACTGACTACTTACTTATTCATGAAAGTCACTTTTATATAATGTGACCTTTGCAGCATCTTTTTATGTCTGCAGAGATCATATGTAGTTCCCTTTGACAATGGTTCTCCAGTAACCAAATGAATCGGCCAGAAGACAACTTCCCCACAAAAGCTTCGGCTGGAAGTGTCAATCATGGTTTGTTTATTCCAGATATCCCTCAAAAACATCCAGCTCAGTGTCTGTGTCGTATGGAATTGAGGCTGGGTCAGAAAGTACACCCAAATCCACCAGTGCCTGGTCCATATCCTCTGGCAAGAATACTATCCCTACATTAAGGACTATGTATTCCATTAAGAAGGAATAGTAGAGAATTAAGACATTGACAAAAAACAGGCCGAGATAAAACATATATGGAAGCTTGTTGATCAGCGATTCCACTGAATCTAAGCGAGAGTAAATTGAGTGTGTCATAGACTCCAAAACATATGTTTCAGTCTCATTGAGCAGACTGGGCGAATTAAAAGCATTTAACCAGACTTTATATGAGACAGGTCAGTTTGGAAGAGTCAATCCATCCATTTCACTCAAACACGCGGTGAAGCAACTCCCTTTTCAGCAGTATTTCCCCCGCAATCCGTTCAATGTAAGTATGTTTCCACTATACAGCAAATAAGTTAGTGAAGAAAAGCATGTTTGATTGTTCCAAGGCCAAGCGCTGCTATTTGACGTTAGGACTATCCCGTGTCCCTCTTAAAAGCCCGGCGACGAAGAAAGGGCATAAATAAAAATCATCTGAAGGCTCGGCGGAGCTTTATAACGCGTGAAAAACAAAAACAAACGGCGCTTTCTCATGACTTCACCAAAACCGTTGCATTCGCACGGAACTCTGGGAAATTGAGTCCGTAATGCTCGGCTGACTTGGTTCGAACGCACTGTAATGACTTCCATAATAAACTACAAATCCCATAATGGCTTAGAGCTGGGGTTTGGGCTGTCATGAGCGATAGGACGTCGGGTATGTTTTCATGTGAGGATTCTGGGCCTTCACTGCGGCGGATATGGATCCATTCGCCTAGCAAATTGTGTTCAAAACATACATATTGCGAAACAGAACAACCGAAAAATGTTCGGCCGTTCAAGGAGCTGGGTCGGAGGGCAGGGGAAGTCCAAAAACATTCATTCTTTGGACCATTTGAAGTAAGCTTTTATAGACCTTTTGCAGCTAACAGTTAATTCGCTAGCCAGCTCAGCTCGTGCAGTTTAAGCTTTTTAAACTCAGTCGGTGTTTGTCATTAATGTGGAAAGTCACCAATAGTCAGTTTAGAAATGTTAACATTTCTATTACTCACGGCGGGATTTATTTGCGATGTAAAACTGAGAACATAGGAGCAAAACTGTATGTGAAGCATTAGGCTGGGTGTCAAAACCTAGTGAGCTGCCTAACGTTACCAAGACAGCATTTTTTTGTGGACATATACGTACATTCGGACATATGCACATATGATGCCCAAAAATGGTGCCTAGGTTGTCAGTTCACTATGTTTTTAGCCACGTTAACCTATAGTTGTATGAAATGCTGGGTTAGTATCTTATAAGCAGCTACAGTGTCTTATGAAATATGTCACTTACATTATTTTCTAATATGCAGAAAGCATTTATGGTCGTTACGATCTCAAATAAATTATAATAAATTATACGTTGTGCTCATTATATGAAATGTATTGTGTCATTTAAGTAGTATTTCTTTTTTATCATTATTATTATTATTATTATTATTATTTTGTTTAGGTACATGTACCATGTCCTAACAAAGAACACAACAGTGACTGATCACAACAGAAATCTGCTGGTGGAAACTATTCGCTCCATTACTGAGATTCTCATCTGGGGTGATCAGAATGACAGCTCTGTGTTTGAGTGAGTTTCACCTTCAGTTTTGACAGTGTTTCCACACGTTAAATTTGCAATAAAATATGCAAAACCAAAATCTCGCTCTCTTGCTCTCTTTTTGTAGCTTCTTTTTGGAAAAGAACATGTTAGCATTTTTCCTCAACATACTACGGCAGAAATCCGGACGGTATGTGTGTGTCCAGCTTCTGCAAACGCTCAACATCCTTTTTGAAAACATCAGTCATGAGACTTCTCTTTGTGAGTACACCCCTGGACAAAGTTCAGATGTTATGCTTTTTAATTTTACGTTTATGTCCTGAACATATTATATGTTGTCTTTCCTTTTCTAGATTATTTGCTGTCCAATAATCATGTTAATTCCATCATTGTGCATAAATTTGACTTCTCTGATGAGGAAATTATGGCCTACTATATCTCCTTTTTGAAAACGTTGTCTCTGAAACTCAACGACCACACAGTGCACTTCTTCTACAACGAGGTAAGGTGCATTAACTAGGGCAACTGTCATTTTTCAAATGACAGTTTATAGACTGAAAGCAGAAGGGGGCTTTTATTTGTGGGCTCGCATGCATTCTGCGTTTAACAGACCGTAGCGCACTTCCAGGAAGAGCTAACAGCTCACTGTGACTTTGTAAAACAGTGTTTCCTGTGTGTTCTTGCAACTTGAGCAGTTATTTTCTTTCATTTTGGACAAATGCAGTCCAGCTGTAAGTTTACAACCGTTTTATGTGGATTGGAAGGTGACGGAAATGTTTGGGGGCTCCTTTGTATAGGGGGAAGTTATTGGTGTACTGTCAATGTGTTCTTTATTCTGTGGCACCTTTGATGCTGTTAATCATTGGTGTCAGGAATAGAGAAGGCCTGCATGGAAGGATTTGCTCTATGAGAGATCTGATGCTGCACTGATTGACTTCCTCTGAATGTAAAATGTAAACCAGTGCATATTAAGACAAGCCTTTTACTAGGGCTGTGCAATTAATCGCATGCGATTGTCATGCGCATCTCGTCAGTAAAGCCGGTTCCGTGATTAGTAGTAAATCTCCATCACCTGCTTTCAGATGGAGCGGCATTTACTACACATTTACTACACCGTAGTTCACTGACAATTAGTCAATATCACGTTCATTATCGCAGGCGATTCAATCTGCGATAATGAACGTGATATTGCCTAATTGTCAGTGAACTACGGCTCTGTGTAGTAAATGCCGCTCCATCTGAAAGCAGGTGATGGAGATTTACTACTAATCACGGAACCGGCTTTACTGACGAGATGCGCATGACAATCGCATGCGATTAATTGCACAGCCCTACCTTTTACAGAAATATACTAAAACTACTGTTTAATCTGTTAAAGACTTACGAAGCTTATGAAATCAGCTTTTGCCTTTACAATATAAACCAAGGTCAGAGTAATGTAACTAAATGAGATAAATTAGTTTTATAGACACATTAACAAAGTGACATTTTGGGAGTGACGACCGCATTGCTTGAGGAGACACACGAGTCTCATATGAACTCATTATAATTATTATAGTAATAACCATAGTAACATTTTGGAACCTTGTGGTAAACAGAAAATATTTTAGGTGTTTAACTAGTATTGCTGACCAAACTAATATTAGCAAATTGTAGACATATGCTTAGTAAATGAATTATATAAATCTTATATTACAGCATAAACCATTTTATATCACTTAATGAGTTAAAAGCAGTAAACATGATAAAATAATATTTAATTATTATAAAAATAGTTCCAACTCTAAATTATTATTGGATGAGCCACATTGAAAATTGTTCTGCAAATATAGACCAAAAAAATACAATTTAAAGGCTAGTTTGTATTTTGTCTGTATTTTCACATTACTACATATTTCTTCTTTATTCTTATGTTTAACATACGGAGCTCTGCCACTGATAGCTATGAATATATTTTTACCACAGCATAATAACAAAATATATATAATATAATGGGGATAATTTTTGGAAGAAATTATTTTGTTCATTACGGGTGCATTAAATTGATCAAAAGTGACAGTAAAGACTTTTACATTACAACTTTCTATTCATCAAAGAATCCTGAAAAAAAATGCATCATGGTTTCCACAAAAATATTAATTGATAATAGTAAGAAATGTTTCTTGAGCAGCAAATCAGCATATTAGAATGATTTCTGAAGTACTGTGTGACAGTGATGACTGCTGACAATTCAGCTTCACTTCCATCACAGGAATGAATTCCAATTTTAAAAATATATTAAAATAAATTATAGTTATTTTAAATTGTAATGATACTTCACAATATTACTGTTTGTGTTTTTGATCAAATACAGCAGCCTTGGTAAGCATAAGACACTTCTTTTAAAAACATAAAAAAAACTTACCTACCTCAAACTTTTGAACGGTATCATACACAATAAATACGCCCTCAGTTTTCACTACAGAAAAAAAGAGGAGAAGTGTGACAACTTTATTGAGGTACGGTGTGTGTATGAACTATATATAAAAATAATTGTAATTAGATTACCCAGGCCAGTAGCATTGCATTCACGACACTTTTCAGTGTCAGTCATGTTATGTGACTCTTTCTTCTGCTCTGTAGACATACTGGATTCACATAAGAGAATAAAAGTGCAGGGATTTTTTTTAAGTCACCAGTTGCAGCTCTCCTCTCTCTGAGCTAATCCTCCTCGCTGACGGCCTCACTCTCTGTCTCCCATGCTTCTAGCACACTAATGATTTTGCCCTGTACACGGAGGCCATTAAGTTTTTCAACCACCCAGAGAGCATGGTCAGGATCGCGGTCAGGACTATCACACTCAATGTGTACAAAGGTGAGTAGAGCCCTGACTCAGCTGCTGCCGCCTGATCCTCCTCTCTTCTGTCAATCGCTCTGTCATGCCTCTGATGCATGGGCATGCTGACGCTGCTCTCTGCCATCCGTGAGTAACACACACTTACATTTAGTGATCGCTGCTGACTCCACCACACACATGCACGGGCAGACTGGGGTTTCACTTGGGTATGGTCACGTGCTGAAGACTGAAGGGCTTTCGCTGATCTGTTTCTCTGGCTTGAGCTTGTATATAAATCCTTCTTCCCTTCTTGAATAACTGACTTAACCTTTCTTACTATCTGCTTGGCACTTGCCCTTGAATTGCGGTCCGTCTTATAGCTAATCAGCCGTTCCCTACGGAGATCGTTAAAGTCGTTGAAGTCAAACTGCCATCGGTGCATGTTACTGACGTTAATGTGCATTCAGTGGCCCTAAATAATATTTGGAGATGCAAACAACACTTAAAAGTTTTTTAAATGTCATTGCACCGAATAAACAACCTTTTACAAGTCTTTAAAAAAAACAAAAAAACAAGCAAGTTGGTGTAATATTTTATAGGGATGCTCCTACATGGATAATCTACATGGATAATATGTCTACATATAAAAATTAAATTAATAATATTTTCAATAACCGATATGATTAGATATCAGTCTACATTTTGTCAGACTGATTACAAAAAAAGTACTCATCTTAAAAGTTCAGATCTCTATGTTCTTCAAATGACACCAAAAACCACATGCAGTGGGACACTGCATCATTTAACTAATGTAGGCTTGTTATGGATCATTAGAAAACAGGTTGTACATACCTACAATACAACAATACAGTACAAATAATCAGTGTTTCCCCTGCCATTATAATAGGGGGGCGAGAGTCACTTCATGAGCATTTGACCGTTTCATTTGAGTAAAACAATC